TAAAATCGGTCCCGTCGTAATCAAAACTAGAAAAATTACAATTTGAAATAACATTTTTCTAAATTCAATTTTTTAATTTAATATTCAGAGCTTTCAATGTAAATATTACATTCTACAGTGTAATTCTTACAAAATCTGTAATAATTACAATATAAAACTGTAATTTTTCCAGTTTTCATCATGAAGCGCCATGTTGCATTTTACACTGTAATTTTTCGAGTTTTCTTTTTTCCGTGTAGACAATTTTTTAAGTTTTAATTATTAATTTAAAAACAAATCATTAAAAAACATATTATTTAAAATGCATAAGAATAAATTCAGTAAAAAATTATCTTCTTACTAATGTGATATTTAAAGCAAAAAATTTGTTGCTTAGTCGAGTAAAAGTTAAATCAGTGAATTATTTGTTCTAAATTACCGCCGTTAACTCCTTGTACCTTTAGTCTAACCTCTACTTTTTGTGATTAAAAGACTAGTAATTAAAGATAACCAAGAAGTAATGATACAAGATATGGTAATAGTTCCTTTATTTTTTTTTTTTATGTTCTAAGCGAATAAGTTTAAGCATATAATTTACATTATGAATTATGACTCAAAATGATTAATGATAAAAAAGATTGCCTATTTACCAGGAGAAGGCCGCATACATATGAAGCGACCACTGTAACACAAGCAGCGCCCCCTGAAAGCCTGGTAGGCTGGCGCTGCATGATTATAGAAAGCAAAGGGAGTTTTGCAAGGTGAAGGTTGAACGCAGATTGTATTGCAGACAAGGGTTACACCCTCTCCACACTGACACAGGTCCGAACATTCGGGCTCGTTGTCGCGGTAGAGCTGAAAGTAAATTTTAAAAAATGAATGAATTATGTAAATTTTATATAAAAGCAATGTTCTTTGTAGAGAATTAATATGGGCGTTTGGGGTGTGCATTTTTTGTATTTTTAAAAGTCTTTGTTAGATATTAAGTTGTAAAGGAAGAAAAAAAATTGATCGATAAAATAGTTCAAACACAAGACACAAAAAATAAAAATGCCAATACTGCAAATGACATTTGATTTTTTCAAGGGGCTAAAGTAAAACAAAAATAAAAGGTAAAATAGATTTTTAGACCAAGTAAATTGCTTTTCAGTGTACTCACTCTTTTTCCTTTGCCCTCACGTATGTACTGATGATTTTGCCTCGGTCTTTGAAACACACAAAAACCTAAGAACATAAAGGTACAAAAAATGTATAAGCAAGCAAGCAAACAAACAAAAAATGTACACATAAATATACACGGTCTTTCACTTTTCTACGTCAATTCTTTTACTCGACTCAAACACACGTTCTATAACACTTTCAATGTTTCTGTAGAACTATTCCTATTTCTATTTACTATCTTTCTTCCTCTCTATATATATTTTTCCAATTTCTGAGAGTGTTACTACGATTGAGTAGCTCCCGCGACATGCCTTTTGGCTTGGAAGTGATTCGCGCGACTGTCGAATGTCGCACCAACGATCAAAGTGTTAGCTAAGCCAGCCATGAATTTGAAAATAAAAATATATTCAAGGAATATTTTTGTTTTCTCTGTTAGGCACTTAACGGCACAGCACCTAAACAGTTTACTTTGAATTTTTTTCGAGACTTTGATCTTTTCTATTTACATTTTTTCAAATACTCAGTTCATAAATATTGGGTACCAATCACTGCCACTACGAGAGGTTGATTTTTTTTTTTTTTTTTTTTTGAAAATTGAAAGTTTGAAAATACTATTCAAAAATTTGCAGTATTTCTTAAATATATTTTATATTTTTTATTCAAATATAAACTTTATATTTTTTCCATGTATGACTCAGTACACTGAAAAAAAAACTCCTTGATTCTGGAGGAATATTCTTGGTCCAAGAAAATTATTTTAAAGAGAATCGGTTGCCTTGATTTAAAAAATTTTTGTTTTAAAAATCGTTTTCTTAGCTCAAGAAATTCTCCTTGATTAAGAGTATCCAGTGAAAAAATTTTCTTATCTGATTTTTTACTTCTTGAACTAAGAAATTTTTCTTGATTTAACTAAATTTCACTCGATTAGAATTTTTCTGCTTAATTCAAAAAGATTGAACTCATTAAAATTATGTTCTTGATTAAATTTTTTCTTTTGAATCAAGTTAATTTTTTTATTAGTGGAGAAAATTACGAAAATTGATATTCTAAAAAAAAAAAGTCGGTAATATCTTGTATAAAAGTTACAACGTCTTTTAACTCTCAAGAAAAAAATTCTAGAATATAAAAAAATACATTCTCTCGTTTGAAAATACTAAAATGCTTCGATTAATTTGTAGAATCATTGAAGGAAGAATTTTTTTTCTTTATTCTCAAGTTTTGGTTTTTCAACTCACAGATGAATTTATTGAATTAATTCAAACTGAAAATCTCAAAAGAGGACTAAAATTTTTAAGACAATATTTTTCTTGAATCAAGTAGTATTTTCCGGCCTGTGTAATAAAATACAAAAAAAAAAATAAAACCCATGAACTTACGTGGCGGAGGTGTACTTGTAGTAGTTGTCGAAGGAGTAGTAACAGCAGTAGTAGTACTAGTAGAACTAGTTGTACTAATAATAACACTGCTACTAAAACTAAACTGATCTACATCATTCATCGTTGGCTGAGTCGTTGATTTTCTGTTGACTTCTGGAATAACATTATCTTCTTCAACGCTGTCAGTAATCAGTGGAGTGACTGCAAAAAATGTCGCCGACGTGCTCCAGGAGTCTGTAGATAGGGTCGTAGTACTGGGCTTTATATTGGAATGATGGTGATGTTTTTTCCGCGCATGGAAATCCTTCTGTGACTCGACTGTAATTGATGTAACAGGCAAGATTAATGTCGATATTGCGGCGAGTTGGTATTAAATAATACAAATATGGCAACAATGGGTCTCATTCTGATGAAGGGAGATGAAAGAAAACGTCAATGCATGACCTCGAGCAGCGTTTGTATACCCTCTCTAACAATAGGACACATGGGAAAATTGAATAGTGACTTGTGAACTGGATTTCCACTCGTCTCCTGCTCCATTCGGGCACTTACTTTGAGCATATACGAGGGAGTAGCAAAGGCAACCAAACCAATTTCTTGATATCTAAATTACTTATCTAGTCGGTTGAATACCAGTCACTGTGTACTCATGACTGAGTCTTACAACAAATAATAATCAATAATGTAATATACCTTCACGATCTTCATGTGCGTCTATTCATACGGGATAATTAAATAACTTTATTGATAGAAATAGAAGTCTATATATATATATATATATATATATAGGATATTAACAGTGACTCGAAAATTCAGCAACACGTTGAAGCACATTTTTAATTAAATAAAATTGCAATTTAATTGACATAAATGCTCAGATAAAAAAATTAGCTTAAGTCTAATAAGGTTTTTTTTGTTATACTCGCTCCAGAAATTCAACTTCTGAGCGCTGGGTGGCGTCCGTAAAGGGACTCTTTTCTAGAGACTCTACCATACCGTCTTTTTTTCACGGCCCAGGCCGTGAAGTTTTACCCCCTCCTTTTTTTTACGAACTTTTCATGTACACCCAGACGAAATTGAGAGAGATTGTAAAAAAAAAGTCACATTCTAGCGTACCGACCGATAATTTTTAGTCTTAGTTACTATTGAGTGGCGCTAATTATTTCTGCTGGCAGTTTATTACGAAGCGGACCTAATGTTAATAAAATAACAACAACGCCATAAATAAATATACGAATAAAAAGTTATTTACATTTTCTGGACGTGAGCAAGATTTTAAAATTAATAAAAAGATAATTAATATAAAATTAATTTTTTTTGGCCTTGTGAAACTTCTTAAAATTTAAATATGTCATTATTTGCCTCCTATCCCTCAAAAGTTAAACTTATGGAGCGATAATAACAAAAAATATTGTATGTCATTCGGCCGTTTAATGGCGATTTTGACGACTTTTTTTCGATATTCGCTTTAATGTTTGTGACGCGAATGTTCGAAAACGAGCGGAAATTTCCGTCCTCGGCTACGCCTCGGACGTTAAAATTACGCCCGTTTTGAACCTTCCCGCCACAAACCTTAAGCTCATATCGAAATATCGTTGCTGTCAGAAAACCGCCACTTCACGGCCTTATGACATAAATATCTATTTTCTCGTAAAATTAATAGAAATCATTTGTTATTTTTTAAATAAAATGAGTTAATTATTATAGAATATAATTGAAGCTTTGTATAATATTATATTATACATTGAGACAATGTATAAATATAATATCAGTAAAATAATTTGAAATCGATTGAAAAATTAACTTGATCGGAGAGGAAAAATTTTGATTGAGGAAAATTAGTTAATATTTAATAAGCTCTATTAAATGTTAATAAATAATTTATTACATGCAATTTATCAATAATTACCGAATCGTTTATTGAACACAATTTGTTAACTGTTAATAAATGTACTTTTCTTTTTAAAAAATATTTATTAAAACTTAAAAAATAATTATTTACATTGAATGAATGAATAAATTGTTTTCAAATAAATGAATTCATTAATAGCTAACAAATTTTTCTATCAGCAGAAAGAATCAAGCCCAAAAAGTTTTGCACTAAATAAAATTCACTGAAATAAAAAAAGAAAATTTTGACTTCAAGAATTTTTCTGGCTAATTAAAGACAAAAAAACTCCTCAAAATCTTCTGATTGATTTAAGATTTTTTCTTCTAGGGTCAAATTAATTTTTTTTATCACTGTAGACTCAATGCATTAGCACTTTTAAATTTTGGACTTCCCAATTAATGAAATTGGAAAAAATACTCACCAACGCAAGGATTAACCCAAAGTAATCTCTGCCATCCCAAACAATCATACAGCTGCGTAAGTTCAGTGCCCTTACAAGCGCAATTGGATCTCAGTTCCGTGCCAAGAATTCCTAGCATTGCTCTTCTGCAGTCGGCGGGCGGACCCGCGCATTTTTTCGTCACGCTATCCACGGCACAGCTCTGCTCGTAGTGCTCCAATTTATTTCTTTAAAACACACACACACCCAGCAAACAGTCATTAGTCATTTTCATTATCATTATAATTATCAATTTTAACAAACTCATCAACTAATTAATACAATATTATTTAATAAAATATCATCAGCGATAATGATAGTGAGGATCAATATAACCGGCATTAATTAGTGTTATTGATAGCGTATTTATTATTTATTTTTAATTAATTTGAATCAAGCAACTGTTCAATAAATGAATGAAATAAAAATTAAAAAAACTTTATGATAGCAAAATATCGCAATACGTCAAAGTAAATTGACAAAATAAATTGCCGAGGAAATGAAAATAAAAATAACCTTAAATTTCGCGGTATTATTGTTATTGAGGTCAAGTGCTAGAAGGTAATCGATTTTTTTTTTTTTAAGATATAACAGACATAAAAGAACTACTGCTTTTAAATTATTTTTTTTTTACTGTTGTTGTTGTTGTTGTTGTTGTTATTGAGCTCGGAATGCTCGATCTTAATTGTATAATTTATAATATATTTCGCGAATTGAGGTCAAGTTTCAAGTGTACATTCGAACCCGAACACCGGAAGAAGAAGTAGGGGTGCCACTTTGGATGAGGCTGATGTAAGGAGATCAAGAGTAGTTCACCTTTGACATTTTCATTACACTAGCGTACTGAGCCGATGATCGTACGGATGATGATTATGATGATAATGATTATGGGTTATTTGATAGGATTAGTAGATTACCTGCATGTGATGTCCTCGCGACATGCCAGTGCTAAACTGTGACAGGTTGGGAGCTCGGATATGTCGTGACCTTGGGCGCAGACTGGGTGCATCTTTTCTTGGGCCACTATGCACGCGTCATCTTTATCTTGAGTTTTTCTGAAGATAAAAAGCAATATAAGATTCATTTATTATTCAGTAGTAATAAAAAATTATAAACCCGAAAAAAAATTTTATATAATTACATGAAAAAAATAATTGGTAAATCCAAATGTACATGCTTTAAGCGCTCATGTTGTACGTAAACTTATCGAAGTAGTTTAAGTATAATAAAAATAATAATAAAGCAATTTAAAAGTTATCTTAATAAAGTTTTAAGAAATGGTCTTACAAGTTGAACACCCTCATGAGTATCGAAAGTTTTTTACAAATGACAAGTACACGTGAGCACATAAACTCTATAAGAAACTCTGTTTACTAAAAAATGTAATCCATACGGCTGCCTGTTGACTAAATATTACGATAATACGATGATAAAAATTTTCTATTTTGAATTGAGCAAATAGTCATTGAGTCGTGATTTTTGAATCACCTTTAGGCATTATCTATACGGATCAAATCTAAAAAAATTGGGTTAATCAACCGTGCTGTTTGAGAGTTATAGAGTTAACAACACTATGTTTGTATAAAAAATCTTATTAAATTATTTTTTATCAATTGTTTATGTTAAATTCTTCATTACTCAATTCTTACTTATTATTTTTCCACTGTTTAACTGGATATAATTAATAAAAAGAAATTGAGTGTTGAAACCAAAGAGTTTTCATTTTTAGATGATAGTATAGAACATATACCCACACACTTTGCATTAAAGGTATGCAATTATATATAAATGTTTATAGATAAAATTATATAAGAATTTTGGCCATAAATAATCTTATATATGATACATTTTTCCGAAGTAAAATTTACAAATTTTCTAGTGCTAAATTTAGATTTTTTCCTTTGTAAATTTAACATTTTTTTCACATGCAAAATTTATTTTATTTTACACTGATAGAAGGATTTGTTTATATTTAATAAGCTTTATTAATTGTTAATAAATGATTTTTTAACATCATAGGATTTAATAAATATTTATTAACAATTAATAAATTATTTATTAAATACGATTTATTAAATGTTAATAAATATTTGAATAGTTAATAAATATTTATTAACAGTTAATAAGTAATTTATTAAGTACAATTTATTAACTGTTAACAAATATTTATTAATGGTTAATGAATATTTGACAACTGTTAACAAATCTTTATTTAAAATAAAAAGCAAAAATCGCAATTTTCTTTTGACACTTTTTATAACTCTATAGCTGGAATACATGAGAATAATTAAATTCACTAAATAAATTAACGTTTTTAATATTTAAAAATATAAAAGATAATTATGAGCTGTGATAGAATTTGGTATTTTACAATAAATGTTATTTTAATGTAATATAATTAATAAAAATGATTTTTGTTTATAAGCAATCTTGATATCATATGACATTGCAAGTGAAACAAATTCACTCAACAAAATATTTATTAACTGTTAATAAATATTTGTTAACTGTTAATAAATACTTATTAACTATTAATAAATATACTTTCCTCCCAAATAAATATTTATTGAATGTTAAAAAATATTTATTAAAATTAAATAAATTAAATAATTGTCTTCAAATAAATTAAATTATTAATAGTTAATAAATCCTTCCATCAGTGTATACAACGTGAACTTTACATATTCAGGATAACAGTTTTTTAAATAAAAAATTACGTATCTAAAAATGTGAATTTAACAGTGATGTCTTGACAGGAGTAAAATTTTAATTTCAACAGATTGTTCTATAATTTTGACAGAACGTTTTTCTGCGTGTAATTAATTAAAATATCAAAGTGTTGTAAGATAAATTGGATGGTTAATTAGGTCCGTGTAAATTCGCGATCGGGATTTCTTGGATAGAGTATCTATATAAATGTAACGAACGAATTCAGTTCTAAATTGGTAGAATGTCGAGCGTAGTTGGTTGTTACCATCTCTCAGCTCCTGGTTCATCGTACTTCATGATTACCCTGCTCACTTTACCTTACTTTTCCACTCTCTCAGTGAACGGTACTCCAGATAGTCTGCTCCAGCTACTAGTCGCCCAACTACAAGTTAAGTCAACCCGCTCGCTGCCCTTCTATCCTTCTATTCAAGCCCCAATGTAAATTAAAACAATTACTCACTTGCACAGACAAAAAGCAATCTCCATCGAGTGACTATCATTAGCTTTTTTGTAGAACTTCTGCAATGCATTCATACACTCATTACGAGCACAGCTTGAAGCGTCGCAGTGATTCAATATCGGCTGCAACAATCCTCGGCACTCCGTATCATTTCTATTAAATTTGTTTATTGTCTAGGTTATTGTTCAATTCAATTAAAATAATTTTTTTAAGGTTTTTTATCTATGTTTTTACTCACCGACACATTGAATAAGCTTGGTGACACGTACTTGAAAGTATTAACTTTACAGGTTGATGAATTTTTTCAAAATCGATCGATGAATCTGTAAAAAATCACAATTTTATTATTGTTGTTGTTATTATTATTATAAAATAAAAAATAAAATATAATCATTCATAATAAAGTTATAAAATTTGCTATTCAAATTCAAAACTATTGTATAAATTTCATTAATAAACTCTAACTATTGTATTTCTTACACAGTGTAGGTTACATTATATTTTTCAACGTGCTCCAATTGGTAAAAAACTTTTAAACTAAAGTTTCACGAATTTTAATTTAAATGTTTACATATGGATTACATTTCAGATTGTTATTTAGATAACAACAATAGCAGATTTATTAAAAGTCTGAAAACAAACAAGTATACTATATATAGATATTTAATTAAAGGCATGAAATTTTAATTATATATTATATACAATTCGGTCACGAAAAAATATCTTTAATAATAACATATATAGACATTAGAGTAATGAAATATTCTTTTTCTTTGGTTAAACGTAAATTTACTGACATTGCCTATTATAATCCTGTATAATATATTTCTTCTAAGGGAGCTTTTGATATAAAGAGAAGAAAAAGAGACAAAGAATTATTTAACGAATCGAGCCTGAAAAATTCGAACCCACCAAATCTGAAAAATTAACCTAACAATAATTCACAGTCGGATCATCATATAACGATCGAATCATTTATTTTTTATTTCGTTTAATTTTTAACTACGCCGGCATAGAACATATACGGATGATTCTCTGTAAGGATGTTTTTTGCTGTCCCAGGCATTTTTTTATTAGAAAAATTGTTATTTTGTTACGAAAAAAAATTTATTACGAAAATAAAAAAACATTTCTATTTGGAGCATTGTAAACTAAAATGGAATAAACTAGAAATTTGAATAGCGCGCTACGCGCGCGCCTTAATCTTAACCAATAAGGATTCAGGGTCCATGTTTTCGATACTAAGCTAACTTCACTCTACCATCAATTTTAGTATATAGGATTTTGGTTTTTTTGCTATAAATTCGTAAACCACTGGGCTGTCCCAGTCCCAATATTAAAACTTTAAGATTAAATTTTAAGTTATTCGTCAATAATATATAATTTGGTCCATAATGTTTATAAACTTAACTAGATAACTAACAATCTTCTTTAATAAAAAGTACCGAAAGTTAATTTGTTTCATTAAATTCATTAAACCAAAGTTTGTCCCAGGCATTTAAGATCAGTCCCCTGCCAGAAGTTCAAAGCAAAAAAAAAAAGTCTAGCGTGTTATTTTACCTTTTGTAAGGTTTATAAGGATCTAACTAGTCTCAGCAACTTAATAACCATAGGGCTGTTAGCGCTTTATCGCCATTTTATTTAGTGTCAAAGCACCGTTTGTGCTGGAAATATGTGTCTGGGCCACTTCACAACTCAGTCCCCTGGCAGCTATTTTTGTTTATAATTTATTTATAAAATTAGATCCATAAGTCTTAAGATTATTCTAATTAATGTAAAATCAGTCCCCTGGCAGTCAGTCCCCTGTCATGTTATATGGCTAAACATACAAAAATATCGAAAAAGCAAAAATTAATTCGGCTGTTTATTTATTATAATTAAACTGATAGTTTTGTAGCCCTTGTTAATTTTTTTTCTAATAAAATCAAAAATAATTCGGTCGGACAATTTTGTACAGATTTAAGACGTCCTTACAGAGAATCACACATACTTATTCAATATGACTATAAAGTACTTCTGTATCCTGAAAATGTCCATAAATAGAAGAAAAGTCACAATAAAAATTAAAATTTACAATGATAATATCTAGAACTTTAAAAGCATAACAAATTTCTACAGACCATAAACCTGTAATAAGATGATCCAACAGACTATTATATTACACATTACATATTATACATCTCTAAAGCCATAATTTTCCTTGAAAAAATCCATGGAAAAAACAATTTTAATGTTTATCCATTTAAAATATCGTAGTGGATTTTTTTTATTATTTTTTCTCTCTTTTATTATTTTTCCAGAAGCATGACGGAGGATATTAGGTCGATATATTCAAGCACCTTGGATATTAAAGTACACCCTCTTGTACCCACGTCTCACGTCGTAGTGGCGCACACCGGCTATGTTCGATTCGATAAGAAAAATGAGGCCAGAATACCACTACCGCAGTAAAGCCAAAAGCCAACGTTTCTACGTAGGATCACTGTACAACCCCTTGCCTACGATTCCCTTACTACCACTTCTACTTCTACTTCTACTTCCACATCGACTATTACTTCTCCCTTGACTTCCTCTACTGCAACACTAAAGTCTACTTATATCTCGGCGTGCATGAGATAAATTCGACGTGGTTTATTAAGACAAACGAGTAAAAGTAAAACTAACTTCTCTTTCACTAAGCTAACCCTTACTTCCTTCCTTCCTATTCCGAGAGTTAAACTCCGAGACATTTCATCGAAAATGAGACACATCCACATTACATATTACATTCAGTAGTGCGAGACGAGTATGGGCAGACATTACATTGAATTGTGTAAACTAAGCGCAAATAAAATAATTATTCTAGCGAAACAACTCACCGGGGTTAGAAACAAATTAACACAAGCAAACCCAAAAATAAATATATAATTTCAACGGAAAATACCCTGAGGTTGATGTAAATTTAATACATTGCTGTTTGCCGTAGTTTCTGATGTAATTCTAGTACAAGGTGTCTTACGATATGCTTCTCCTACAACCTAAAAGCAGGAGGATAATATTCCCCGCTCTCATTTCAAGAGGGGTTTACGTCAGGCCGGGCGAGCGAGTTTATCTGGGGAAAATGCCAGCAACAGGGATGCTGAGATGCACCATTTGTGCCTCTAACGGCGCAGTACAAACCTCTTGGCTATTTTGTCAGTTCTGCATAAAATTACTAACCAACAACAACAATAATGATAAAAATAATTATAGTGATATTAGTGGCTGTTATGGAGATGGAATTGCTATTTTTCCTATTTCTGGAGGATTCTTCCCATTTTATCTGTATATTACACGTGGTACGAATTCTTTGTTGTAGAAAAAAGACGGGTTTAGTAAAGATGAAATTGTAAATGAAAATCTTGGTTGGAAAATTCGACATTTATTGGAGTTTTTTTATCAAAGGAATCACAAATAAAAATTGAAGATGTCAAATTTTTCTGAAATTACTTTTTCACATGATTCGATATATTCACATATGGCCATTTTAGATAATTTTAAACGGCTACATCAGATAATTTTAAATGGCGAAAATTTTTGTTAAATTTTCAGAGTATAAGCTCGCATGAAGAAAAAAAATTTTCTACAATAATTGGAAAATTTTAATTATGCGAGTATAGGAAAATAGCAATTTTTTTTGTTTGAGTAAAAATAGCGCGGAAATAAAAACTACAACAAACGCTCATCTCGAAGACAAATCTTAAAGTTTTGGTGATCGATTAAAAGAGAAATAGAGAAGAAAAATAAGTGTCTATTCTTGTTACTAAAGGCTTAGCTTGAACTATTTACTGTAATGAGCTTTTGTAAAAAAGCTGGTAACGACGAATCGAATTTCACTATAGTATAATCTGGGATTCTTTTAATTTATTTCTTTTAGTACTTTATCTGTGGTTCGATTTACTTTTTTCAGGAGGATTGTCTTTGATAATGTTGCTATTTGCTTGGGGTAATCGATAAAAAATAGCGGGCTGGTAGGTAAATAGTTGGTGCTTTCCGATTAGTTTACTCGAGTTTCGTCAACAAGGGGTCGGGATTGCGATGAGTAAATACACGGGTGATTGATGATACAGCTAATGATTCGAGTTATTGTGTGAATTACAAGAACTGTTGTCGAGATTAAGATCTTGTTTAACGTTGAAGCGAAATAATGGCAACCGGGATAGGCTTGTTTAAATGGAAATGCTACTACTGAGCGAGTACACACGCTCAATCATTCTTTTTTTTTTACTAGAGAAGAATTTTATAATTTTTTAGTACTTTTGACAGTCAAAATTCGATACTTTCATGATTTTCACGACAAAATCACTCTTTTCTTCAAAATCTCCAGTAAAAATATAGCGTAACAAGTAACAAATTTAAAGTAAACATAAAATAAATTCATTTAGCAAATTAAATTTTCAATTGCCTAAAGATAAAATAATAATTTACGAATAAATAGTGACAAAAATGATCAATAAAAGTAACCACGTGTGTCGACGAAACAGCTTCAGGTATTATCTATACTTTTGTAATTCTTACGAGTAATTTTTGAATGTTAATTAATTATTAGATAAAATTTTGAAAACAATAAAATACTTAGTCGAAGGATACCCCCAGGAAAAAAAAATATAAAAAATATATATTTTTAAATATATAAAAAATATATTTTTAAATATATAAAAAATATATTTTAAATATATAAATATATAAAAAATATATATAATAAATATATTTTAGATATATTCAAGATATATTTTAAAATACATATATATTTATATATTTTTATAGATTTTTAATATATTTTTTATATATTTCGAAATATATATTATTTATATTTTTTTTTATGGGGGTAAAATTTTTGAATGAAGATTTCTTCGATCTTAATCCAAGAGTTATAATATAATTTTCTTCAATTAAGAGATGTAAATATTTTGAAATATGACGAAAATTTGGAAAAAAAAATTTACTTAAAAGAAGTTATTTTTTTTATGTGCTTTTCAAAGATTAAAAAAAAAAAGTAAATAAACAAAAGTGAAAACGTAACAATAAGGATTATCTCTTCTTAATTAGCGTTAAGAAAGGACAAAGTGTAAGACGATGAAAGAAAGACTTTCATGGATGACAAAAAGGTCCATTGTGTTTGTTAAAGCCAGTGTGACACTCGAGATCCCGCAACAATAATGAAAGAAACCGAAAGTTTATTTTGCCAAGTTAAGAAACGGAGAAGCCACAAAGGGAAAGAGACTGTCTGAGATTAAGACAGACTCGTCAGTCCTCGGTCTGATAATAAAGGTTATTTAGTAAACGTCTTATTATCGACAGTGTTAAGAAAATCAGAGCGACAAATCGGATTACTAATGAGTAGCTTTCCGTCCTGGGTAAGGTAGTAGCTCAAGTTTCTTAAACTTGTATTGGCATTCAAGTTCTCTATCTGCAGAGATAAGTTACGTAAAAAATAAAAAAGTTGTTGAGATAAATTGGACGACAAACTGGGACTTGGAAGTTGTTTTACATCTAGGAAAAGAGCTAACTTTACGACAGCCATTAGTGTTATCATGATTAATCCCAAAATTTTACCTGGTAAAACTTATTAATTTCAAAGATTTGTGCCAAGAGTCGTATTTACTCAACTATCTACTAACTTGTCATCGTGATCGTCGGTTATGTCGCGACCGGATTCAGATATATTCGGCTCAGTGACTGAGGAAATGAGAGTCCTGTCAACTAGTTTTAATTTAATTTCATTTTATCTTACTCGAGTTTAACAGTTTGTACTTTAGGGAACAACTTACGACACATGTATATGTTATTTTTGAAGTGCATTTCATTCAATTTGAAAATTTTTTATGTCATCAAAAAAGTTTAGTTAAATTTATCTCTTTCGATTGAGGAAGAAAATTTGGTTGAAAGAAACGGTACAAAATTAACCGAAATTATCGAAAAACTTCTTCCTGTCAATAAAAATACATACATAAAAAAAACATTTAATTTTTTTGAAATTAATAAAAGTAGTCTTCATTAAACTATGTGACTGCTAAGATTTACAAATTATTATTAAAAACTATGGTGTAATGATTTTTCAATATTATTAATTACAATGTGGGTACTTTTAAAATAAATTAAAAAAATAAAATTGCTATAACTAGATCAATTATCAATAAAAATCCATTTAAAAATAAAAATTTGCCTGTTAGAAAATTTCCCTTGTCCTCTTAATTAATTAGATGGAAAATTGATTATAGCCGAAAAAAATATCAAACTATGAGAAGACATAAATTCAGCTCAAGAACTTTTTAATTGTACCAAATTTCATTATAAGAACCTATTTTATAAGATATGATATGTACTGATAGAAGGATTTAGTAACAAAATTTTTATTCATTTATTTGGGAGAAACAAATAGCTTGTTCCCATCAATATTATTTGTTACAGTTTAATAAATGATTTCTTTATATAAACAAAGCCTTATTACCTGGAAATAAATATTTATTTCCACTAAATAATATTTCGTAACAGGTACTAAATATTTCTTTGGTAAGTATTGTCGGTAGATGGCTATGCTTTAATTCCAATGTTTATCTGATACATAACGTATTCACTGACTCAGATTATTTTATTCAGTTCGATTTTAGGAGATTTATCAAACCTTTGAAAACACACATACTCCCAATAAATGGTTTCTATTTATGTCTTTTCTCAGAGGAGTTTAGTTTACATTTTTCAATTTTTGTCTATTATTGATACGTTAAAAACTTGTTTAATTTTAAATTTTATAAATATCTCATACAAAGAAATATAATTTAATGAGATCCTTTTACTTATAATACTTTATATTTTTACTTTAAATTATTTAGTTTAATTATTTTGATTTATTTGAAGTTAAAAAGTTAGGTTACACGCTAAAATTAGTTAAAAAATTAATTTTTTCGATACCAATAAACGATTTATTGAGTATAAATAAATCATTTGTTAAATACTACTAAATATTTATTTGGTGGAACTAAATAGGCTTCAATAAATGATTTAGTACCTATTACTAAATATTTGGTAATGAAAGGTGTGTTACTAAATCATTTAGTATCTGTTACAAAATCTTATTAAGTAGAACTATATCCTTTTATCAGTGTGCCTATCCAAAAATTGTATTTATCATTTTACGTATATGGATTAATATTTGAAAAATAACCACATTGATATGTAATACAAAAAAAAAATATATTTCCGTCTTCTAGTGAATGTTTGTAACATTCCAATTAAATTTATTTCAATTGTCAATTTATAACAGCATAAAAAAGCATTCCTGCCGGGTAATATCGCAATGATACTCAAATATTTGTAAGCTCATCCGGGAAAATCGTTACAAACTCTTAACATTTAATGGACAATTTTAGCTCTTTTGCCCACACTAAAACATTGTTTTATTTTGTAATTTTTTCAGCTCACCGGTCGCGTCCAATTGCATGCAGACGATAATGGAAAAAATCGCTATTTTCTTCGGACTGTAAAATAAGTCGTAAACCCCGTGCCGAAAGTTATAATTCAGGTAATCAGAGGATATTACCTTCGGCAAAGATTTCCCGATTTCGTGTTAAGCTTTAAAACAAAACAAAGAACGAGGGCTTTAAAATATCTGAGCAGAAGATCACTGCAACAGCATTAGTGCAATTCTTGGGCTTATACTGATGCAACTATCGATATTTAGCTTCTCGACATTTTCTCACGTGGAAATAAAATAAAAACAGGGCAGTATAAATCGATTTGCTTTATTATACCCGTCTTCTATTTGGCATTGTATACTTGGCCAGCCGTACGTACCGAGTACTCGGTAGGGGTGTAATTTTCCAATGGTGAAAACCCGAGCGTAACGATTCATCGTATACTCGATCGTGTCATTACCATCAGCTTAAAGTGCATTTCTAGCGAAAATAAATAGATTCGATTTTAACAATTGCACATATACAGACTACTGACTATCGACGACCGGAGTATGCCCTATCATTTGTAATCGACTCTATCTATTTCGGATCAACTGAAAAATTCAGCGTCTATCTGATTCCAGACTACTTTTTACATTAAAATGCTTTTTGTACCGATGGAAATTGTTTTTAAATTTCAATTTTTTTGCACTGAAAAAAAAATTTTTTTGAATAATTTTAACATTTCATGTCTTTAATTAAATCTTACGCGACAACAGATTAGTACAATTTTTTAATTAAAAAAAAAATTGACTCACCATCGTCTTCAGTAGTGTGATTCTTCCGATGATGTGGCCGATGCCTGAACCCCGGAAGTGTGAGCTGCTTCAACGCATGAAGGTCTTGATGATCAGCATCAATCAGCGGGTTCTCCAGCTGCGACTCGATGATTTCAAAGCTCGTGGTGTTGTCGGGATGCGAGATGATTTTCACTGTAAGCGCGTAAGCGTGTAACCTGATGATTCAGTTCTACTACTAAGGCTCCTTACTCTAAAGGTTTCTTACAAAAGGAACTGGCGCTTCTGCTAATTAACTAGTCAACAATACTCAAGCCAGTGAAAAAGTCCTTTCAAAGACTCGGTTATTGATCTTTGATAATATTAAATTCGTGCAAATGAAAATTAGTTTATTAGTTAGTAAGATTGTACTCAAAAGTCTACTTGGGCAGTCCATTCAGCTGAAATTACAACTCTTTTAAGTTATAAATAGTTGGAGATCAATTCTTAAAAGTACACGGACAAAGTGGTGCTCAAATCATACCAATCATTTCGTTGAGTGGATTTTAAAATTATTTTTAAATCAGGGATATACAATCCACTTTTAATGTTATTTGCTCAAATAATAGTTATTGAATTTAATGGGCATCAATCAATTTTAAAATTATTTATCACTTAAATTCTCAAAAATCGTAGCAATAACTCTAATTTTAACAAAATATCAAAAATGAAAATAAATTGTTTTTTAGTAAATAAAATTAAATAATTATCATTATCACTTATCTGAAGGACTAATATTTATCAAAGGAATATATTTTTTCGTAAGGTAAAGTACCCAGTAGTTGAACAGGTTTCAAAGTAAAACGTATTTGACCCTACTTTTAATATATAAAGATGTAATTATTAGTTCAAATTAGTAATTTTCATGAAAATATAGACAATTTTGAATTGATTGAAGTGCAAAATAACGCAAATAATTGAATATTTATAATTAGACAACGTTTTTAAGATAGACTATGAAAGGAGTAGTAGTTGAACAATTAATTCTGACAAGCCGCAGTAGTTGAACACTCCGGGAGCAGTAGTTGAACTAATAAAATATATGGCAATATATAAGCACACCAAAATTTTTTATCGTTTCATTGAAATATTCAAAGATTTATAACATATCATTGAATAATACTAAAAATAATACTATAAATATTTAATATGTTCATTTAAAAATGAAAAATATTTGTATTAAATTTTTTAATTACATTTTTTATGAATGACAAAGTAAATTTTCAATTATAAATCAAATAAACGCAATTCAAAACGTTCAATAATTTTTAACTATACTAATTTTTAGTTATAAAACTTATTTAATTTGCAGTAATTAATACAAATTACAATATTGACCATTAGTCTATAAACCTATTAAAGGTTAGAGTGCTGTTAAAATTATACGGTCCCAGCTTGTTCAAGTTCTGGGTACCGCTTTGAAAATTGGGAGGTATAGTTGAACGCTAAAATTTAATATAAAAATTATAGTTTATGTCTTTGCAAAAAATATGTATTATTTAGAAAAGACTATTTCATTGGGTGGTACAATTTTTTTCACTTAAAATTATGATATACCGTTTTTTTTACTGATTGTTTGGTTTGCGGTTTAGTACCTTTTTCATGAAAAATTACCATCTATCGGTTATTTTCGACATGTCAACTTTAAAGTTAACAAAAATGCAATTGTTTTGATCTATAATTGAAAAAACTTACCAAAATCAATTACTGTATCATTGAATAAATATAACATGCGCATATTACTCATAATATATATATACAGATTTTGTATTACAACAATTCTAAAAGTCTGTTCAACTACTGGTCCCATTCTTAGAAGTGTTCAAGTACTGGGTACTTTACCTTATTTTATATTGACAATTATTTGAATGCATTTATTGAGATTGATTATATATCGTAAACACCACAACGTATTTATTTATTTATTTTTCTGTATTTTGATTAAGTATCTATAAATAGAGATAAAATTTAGCAAAATCAACAATGGTTTAGTTATTCAATAAAATTTCCTTAACTATTGAAAGCAAAAATCACCTTGAAAAAAATTTTTGAGGAATCAAGACCTAGCCAAGAGTCAAACCTGGATCTCTGCTTTCAATGAATAGAAAAATTTTATTTGTGTTTTTTAAAATGAAATCAATTAAAAAGTAAATTTGAATAATAACAACTCGGATCAAGAAGTTTGCGTTTTTTCATTTGTTCAAATTTAAAGTTAAGTACATAAATAGTCATTTGAACGTTTGCAAAAGTTCAGGCCGTAATAATAATCCGAACAAAAACAGTTTCACTGTAAAAAAAATCGCGCTAAGTCCACGTTCATAAGACTATTAAGAAAAAAAAATTAGTTTTTTTCTTTACAAAAAGATATAAAATAAAAAAATTAAAAAATCCAAGTAACCGATATGATTGTTTATGATTTTCGGAAATTAAAAAAAATTTTGTTGTAAATTTAAAAATTAAAAAAAACAATTTTGGAACGTATTTAGTATGCGCGGTTGCAAAATATTTTACTTTTAACTAAATTCGTAAAATCTATTTACTAGGACTTTAAAAAAATTCGCACACCAAGTACGTTCCAAAATTGTTTTTTTAATTTTTAAATTTACAGCAAAATTTTTTTTAATTTCCGAAAATCATAAACAATTATATCGGTTACGAGGATTTTTTAATTTTTTTATTTTTTATCTTTTTGTAAAGAAAAAACTAATTTTTTTTTTCTTAATAGTCTTATGAATGTGGACTTGGCGCGATTTTTTTACAGTGAAATTATTTTTGTTGGCTGCATTTTTTTATAGCAAACTATTCCCTTGAAGCTATAGTTTATGTAAAAATAATTTCAGCGCACCCTGGCGGGTGTAGATGCAAGTTGTGAAATATCTTTTTTTAACTGTAGTGTCCCATCTTATGAAGGATTACTATGCATTCTCGAATATTTTAGTCTGTGGCAGATCACTTTGCCCATCGACAAAAAGTCAGGATCGAAATTTTTGCGTTGCTATAGTTTGTGCTGATTAAATTTAGTAATTTCAAGTAGATTAATTGTTATAAGTGAATATAATTAATTAATAACAGTAAAATAAAGTATGAATTACTGTTATAATATACAATTTAGGAAAAAAAAGTACCGTAGAATTAAATAAAATTTTGCAACCTCAAAATACCGTTCTGCTTACAGTAAACACAGTCGGTAGTCTGGCGCTCCGTTGACAACGGATTTGAACGGAACTTGGCGCCAGATTCTACCGAATCTGTGGATTACTAATCAAAAAATATTTTACACATATATTAAACAAACAAATAAAAAATTACTTTTATTATTCTGTCAACTTTTTTTGCCCAAAAAGTAATCTGGCTAATTTTTGTAAAAATTTATTTTCACCACTCTTAAGACTCAATATTAGTATGACTTGAGTACCAAGCTGTTTCTCCGTGCAAGAAACCAAATGATGTATGATAGTTAGATAAAATACGCGAAAAGTAACAAACCCCCTTGAAGAATTACGAACCTTGAGCAACGAAGCCCTCGAAGGCTTTACGGAGATCAAAAAGTCGATCAATAGGCAGACCGAAGTCGTCGTCAATCCGGTCGACAACAACAGGTCCATGCTCGTAAGTAGGTCTCGGTGCAAAACGGTTGGTGCCAGGTCTTAGTGCCGGTGCCGATTGTGCAGATACTTTCTCGTTCTGAAGTGCAGGCGATGCAGGCTGTGGTATTGATGATGATGGTGATAGTGGTGGTGCAGGAACAGGTGATGGTGCTGAGGGACGATTGTCGTGATGGTGCCGATGGTTGTGATTTTGGTGCTGGTGGTGGTGGTGTTGATTACCGCGGTCAACTTTGTGCTTTTCGAGGTCATGCTCGGTGTCGTTAGAAGCATGCTTGCCGCTGAATTCGTGATAGTAGGAAGGAGAAGAAGCAGAAGAAGAAGAAGAAGAACCGGCTACTGGGTTAAGATCGTGGGGACCCGGACCCGAATTTGTACGGTCCGATTCCGCACTGCCAGGCATTTCTGGCAGTCCGTAGTACCCATGACGATGTCGATCGTAGTCGAGCTCGTCATTGTTGCTATTGTAGCTGTAAGTGCGCGCGGTCGCGGGGAATAAAAAATAGGGGTACATACTGGTCGGGGGCAACCAGATCTCTTGAAAGCTCTCCTGCTGGGGGTCGAACGGATATAGGGCCGAGTCCGTTCCTGATAGGTCTAAGGACGCGGAGAAGGGCAGAAAGTCTGAAACACAGAAGCAGAGTCCCGGGCACACGAGGTAATAAGTGCTTTCTTCCTGCTTAGTTACTGTTATTTTCCTCGACAAGTGCACGAGGAAATCTGTCATTTTTGTGAAATTATTATTGTGCAGCTAATATATTTAATTTTCATAAGAATTTATTTTCTTTGAGAATGTTTAACGTTATTTGAGTTGTAATTATTTTATAAAAAATTTTCCTAAGATTTTATAATTCGGAAAAGAAAATTTTTCTAATGATTTGTGATTTTATTAAAAAATTGATATTTTTTTTTATTTTTTACAACAAAAAAATAGACACTAATATTTTTTTTAATAGCTTCTATAGCCAAAAAAATACATTGTTACCCGTGCAAAAAAAATTTTATCCAATAATGAATTTGATCCTTAATCCATTTTTTTTTTTTTTTTTTTCAATGTAAATCGATGTAAAACAAATACTGAGTTGAATTTCATCGTTTTTTTTTCTTCAGCCGAAATAATAGGTATTTTCCGTTATGTTTTGCCACAGAATTTAAGGTAATAAAAAAACGAGTAAATTTGGTAGTGTCGAAGAAATTGATTTCTTTGTACATATAATAATGACTTAAAATTTTATTTGATAATTGAATGAAATACTGATTTTTGAAATTTACCTTACCATTTTTGAGAAATTGATTTTTTAATTTGCTTTAAGATTATTTTAATATTATATAATTTTGTAGATTTTTAGAAAAAATTTTTTTATGACGAAGAAAAATGATAGCAACTGCACAATTATAATTTATTTGATACAAAAATATTTGAACTAATCCATAAAAATTGAAAATTTCAGAACAAATAGTTTTATTTCACGTATAAATATTTATAAGCATGTAGTAGTAGTGGTATCGTGTACTGTTGAAAAATTTAGGAATTGTTTTGGGGTGGTAAAGAAACACAAGCAGAAGAATAAAAATAAAAGTTTTATAAACAAGATTCCCGTGAGTCACGTTTGCTTTTAAATTTTCATGGCTCCGAATATCTTGTCAAGGAACTCGGGCTCACTATTTTCCATAATAATGTAATTTTAATTAATTTTGGTAAATATCAGGTAAGTGATAAGTAATATTTGGCAAAAATATAAGAAATATTATAAGAAAATATTTGTCAGGTAAATAAAAGAGTGTGTATACGTTCGATCGAGTAAGAAAAATATCCAAAGTTTAATTTAATTCGATAAAAAAATATTGTATCTGAGATGTCTAATGTAATATAATGTAGTATTTTCTGAAGCGGAATAAAATAATATTTGATCGACGAGCAGTGGACTTTGGGATTTGTGGTATGATAAATGACTGATGGATTCAAGTGAATTCAATGAAATAAATAATGAAAGTTTTAATAGTTTCAAGTATTGAGTTTTGTTGATGTGTGTTTAATTGATGAGTCGATGGAATTACCAAGCTTCTTTTGCTCTATGGGAAAACTCTTTTTTCATATCAATATACACATATATTCATGTAAGTCTGTAAATAGCAACATTTCATGTTTCTTCAAAATCGTCTCATATTTATTGGAGTACACATAAAAAAAATATTGCACCTATTAAAAAAACTTTGAAACTTTTTAATTTTATCTCACAACTAAATTTATAAAACGAATTGAATAATTAATTCCATATAAGAGAAATTTTTTTATCTCAAAAAATGTATTGATATTATTGATGTTCGTATAATTAAAAAAAAATTTTTTTTTAAGGTAAAATAGTCTTTCAATCAAATTAATTAAAAATAAAGTAAAAATCTCAAAAATTAAAATTTCATAAAAAAATGGAGACCTGATTTTTTTTTTATTCGTACAAATATTACACTAGTTAATAATAAACATAAATATAATATCAACTCACAAGAAAATACTAATTTTTAAATATTCAAAGTTCAATTAAGATTCTGATTTTTTTGAGAAAAATATTCATTTTGAATTATTTACATGTAATTAAAGATAATAAAAAAAAATTTATGAGCATAAAAAAATTTAATAATAAGTTACATAAAAAACATTTTTTATGAATACATAGCTAAAAATTTTGAATTGTAAACATGGGCGGAAATGTCGCCATAAAACGGTAGACTTTTATATGTGTATATATGAATATATATGTATATGAAACATAGTTTTATGAATAAGAGAAAGAGGAACATAAACATGCAAAAATGACAAAGCATGCGGTGCAAATATTTTTATATTTTTAATTTTATTTGAAACTTATGCACGGTCTACTTGTTCGTCACAAACAAATTAAATATAAATAAAAAATTCATTAACGCATTTTATTTATATTTAGATTGTTTTATAATTACACATATGATACACGAGTGTAAGCCGCGACTGGAAATGTTTATTCTAGAATAGCGTGTACTTTGAAGTGTACACAGCTTGGGAATCGTAATTTTATAGTTAACAAACAATTTATCCGTTTTATATGATATACAGTAAAAAAAGGAATAGCTGAATGAATAGTGAGTGCAACTACGAAAATATTTGAAGAATTTATGCAATTCTTCAATTTTCATTCCATCAAATGCTTGCTTTTATCTTCGAAAACATTCGATGGATTATTTTATACTTTTGGAAAGGACAAACAGCTCCTAAATTCATCTGTATGATGGCGCATTTTACGGTGAGAGTGATTCGTGCTCACGTGATGCATTGCAATGACTAGCATTCTGATGGTGTGCATCGGCATCTGTCATGGCTCATTCGAATCTTTATGCGCTCGTCAACATTATGTTTTATGTTTTATTATATTATTTTGTTTTATTGTTCAATTACATTTACGAATTGTTCAGTTTATCATTCATCACATCACGCTGAATTATATATCTTATAAAATATTTTTTTAGGTTTTAAATAGTAATAAAATTTTTCCACTGATTTATTATGAGGCTATTCAAATTATGATTATAAAACTCAAAAATTAATTTTTTTACAGTGACATAAAAATAAATTGAAACTCATAAAAAAATTTTCTGGTATGGCCATACATGACTTTTAATTAATTAAAAGTAGTGTTGAAAATTTTCAACAGAGAGCGCATGATCGCTGAATCTTCTCCCTACAAGAGAGTTAACTTTTAGATGTTAAGTAATAAAATAAAAATAATTTTTTGTTAATTCTAAGAAGTTTATCTGACATCGATTATTAATTTCATCAACATATTTGTAGATAAAAAAATTAATAAAGTATTCACTGTCATAATATAACCTAATATCAGAAAATTTTTTACAGATAATTTTGAAATTAAAAAAAAAATTTTTGCACCGTTCGTTTTTAATAAAAACAACATTGCGGTGTACTTAAATTTTTACTTTTATTCAACTGTCAATAAAATGTTAATTATTTGTAAAAAATAAAAAAGCGCTTCTATTACATAAATTATAATTAATCAATAAATCATAAAAGAAAAAGTAAGTAATAAAAAAAGTAGTAAGTACACGTATACTGATAGCGCAAAATTTCCTCGGAAAAGTTATATCTTATTGAAGTTATCGAAAAATTTGCTCATTCATATTCATACACCACAGCTGTGGTTCTATCAAAAAAAAGGGAAAGGCTGAGGCATTAAAGAAAAAAAGAAAAAAAATGAAAGTTTTCGTAGTAAAATAAAATAAAATAAAATAAAGTATAAAGAATCTTTCTCGCTAATAAATTTGAATCCAACCTCAAAAGTTTTAAAACTATCAGCCTTTAGAATAAAAATATCTTGTCTTGATAAATGGTAGTTTTGCAACATAAAAATACCCGGTGAAGTAATATAATTTTCTGTTTGAATTAATTTTATTTTTCCTTGGGAGTTTCGGAATTAAATAACTTTCTTCGTCCTGTATTATGATTTTTTACTTGAGTGCACGACCGAAATTGGTTGGTATATGATAAAATAATAAAACAAAAACATAAATAAAAAAATGATGAGTACAGTTGAATGGGAATTACGTAGAGAGCTTACGGAAATACGAGCAAGGGTATAGCATAGTGATTGTTCCATTTGAGAGGATAACTTTAGAGAATCTCAATGGAAATGTCTGACGGAATAGAGTCCTCGGAAACTTTCAAGAGAATAATACCACTTAAAATTGACTTAAACTCACTCTCACTCACTTACTATATTGCTCTTTGAGACTGTCGTAACCTGATTTAATGTACTAGTAAATTAACTTTTATAAATAGTTGTTATAGTTAATCAATATTTTGTTCTTGCTTCAGGGTATCCGTAAATAAATTTACCATTCAATTTTATGGAAAAAATATTTAATTTTTATTATCGAAGCATCAAAAAATAAAGCTCAAAGTTTTTTTTTAGATTTGTTTTTTTTTTCACATGTTAAATCGATAAATATGCATCGAAAAAAAAAAACATTTTACGAGCATTACACGACAAAATGACATAAAATTTTATGGAACAAAAATTTTTTTTTTAAGTAGCAAATAATGGACTTTTTTGAGAGATTAAAAAATAATCTTGCAAGTATTTTACGGACACACTGAAAACAATTAACGAATGAATAAAAAAAAAAAAAATAAACCGTTTATCTTAATTGATCAACAATAAAGGAATTTTATTTGACTTTACTTTAAATTGAAGTATTAATTAAATTGAAGTATTAATAATTAGGAGTGAAGTGAAAAATATTGAAAAGCAATAGTATAAAAAGTTGAAAGAGATTAAAAGAAGAATTTATCATTGACATTTTCTTTCTCGAATTTCCTCGTAAGCTCTTGAATCCAAGTGAAGATCGATTGGACGGGTGGGCAAATGATTTAATGGATGAAAATCCTCTCGATCTTCATTAATCCAGGTACAACTAATACATTCAGCACATCTATCTCTATATCGAGCTCTCAGCGATACTATACCGTAAGTAACGTTTTATTAAATTTTAAATCGAGTAATGCTTTCGATATCTTACATATCCTAATGGCCAATTATTTCTTATTCATATGTAATTGAATAAAATACTACTTAGTTCGACTTTTACTCACGGATAATATCAATATGTGAAAATATTGATATCCAATTGCCCAAATTCGATATAGTAGTACTGAGGCTATAATGAATGATTATTTATTTTGGCAATAAATTTAATGAGAATCCAGCAAATATATACTGCGTAAAGATAATGGTAATAATTAGTAACAGGTAATGATTTTGATAACACAGTTGCAATTAAGTGCTCAGCATGAATATGAACCATGATTCATGATTAATTATGATAATTAAAGGAATATTCTTTTTTGTAAGATTTTTTTTAAAAAATACATATTTATTTTTTAATCAGTTTTTTAGCTTACTTACTGAAAATACTTTAAATATACATTTGAATTATTGCTGAAAAAAAATTAAGTCATTTTTGAAAAATGGGAAATTTGGCAATTTTTTTCTTCCAAGTTTTGACTAAATTTGAAAAAATACTTTTCGAAACAAGAAGAAAATTATTATTTAAAAAAAAATTAGCTAGCTTAATTTAACAATTTCTTGTCTTGAAACTACCTTGCAAAAAATTCTTAAATAATTAAAAAAATTAAAAGTAATTTTTTGAATAATAATAAACGATTTTAAATTGACTAATTTTTTGACTAATCAAGAATACTCCCTTAATGATTTATGACCGATGATATAATAGTTAACGCAAGGACTTGTTTTTTGTATTGTCTTGAACATGTGACAATGTATATGACATTTAATTATGTATTTTATAAAGTCAATCATTTCCAGACAATAAAAATATTATTAAAATCAAAATAACCTGAAAACGACTTACCCACACACGGATTATGATTAACCGTTGAGAATATTTTATCGCAGCGCTTTTTCGCTTGATTGCCTGGACAAATGCATCCGAACATCGGCGACAACCTTAATTGAGTCCAGGCATCATGACAAGCTTCTCTGAAAAATAAAAAGAGGAATTTATGATTAATATTTTATAAAATTAAAAGAAGGAAAAATTTTTTTGGAGAATAGAATGCGATTAACGCTGAATAATTTGATAGTAGAATCGGTAGAAGCTTAAACGGCGAAGGAAAAATGTTGAAGTTAGTTTTGGAGAGAAATGGCAGTGGTGAGTTGTATATGTGTGTGATAGGTAAAATTTTATCAACGTTAGAGCCAGTAGGGCAGCGGATGATTAGCGTCGTTATCTAGATCGTTACACGCGGCTGGTGCAAACTATTCCGGGAACTTGGCGAGACACATCCACCTGAGGCCTGAAGGAATGCGAATTATTCCAAATCGTTGGTTCTTGCATTCGTGTGTGAATATGATTAGATATATATCCCATGAGAATTTACGCCTGTGAAAATCTTGTGATGATAATGCCCAATATTTTCTTTTATGTTTGCAATTATCTCAGAAATTTTTGAGTATCTATTTACTTCCATTCAAGCAGATTTTAGATCATTGACAAGCATTTTGTCAAGAGTCGAATTTTCTCAACCGACAACGAAATTATTACGGTTATGTATGCTCTCTAAAATTGAATTAGTAAAAATTAATCCGAAGTTGATAGTTACCTTGTCAAAATGGCTAAAGTATATTATTAGTAATGAGCAGTTATCAACTTTTTAAATTAAAAAGAAAGCTAAAATTATAAATAAGTAGATTTTTCACAATTGGATAGTGAAATTCAATAAATAAAAAAATTATTTTTCTCTTAATGCTGTAGTGAATTTGGATCTGCTTATATTTTAAATTAGTAAATAATTAATAATTTAAAAGTAAAGCCTGTAGACTTACTGAATTTAGTTTTAGAGAGTAGAATAAAGAAAACTTTTTCTAATAAAAAATTATGATAGGTTCTTGTAAGAAATTTTTTGTAATTAATTTTCATAATTAAGCGCTCAAAATTGCACTTATTACGTTTTTGAGCTCTTCGAGCTCAAAAATATAGTTTTCGTGTCTTATAGAGCTCTCCAAGCTTAGAAATATGATTAGAAGTTTAATAAAACACTATTTTTTAAATTATCAAACCGCAATAACTTTTAAATAAATGAACCGATTTTCACGCGGTTAGCGGTATTCAACGCAGTTTCTTAAAGCTCATAAAGAATCTTTAAGTTTTAATTGATCGAATTAGGAATTTCGAAGTAATTCCGAAAAAACACGTTTTTCGGTTTTCGTTTGACAACGATAACTCACGAAAGAATCAACCGATTTTAACAGGGTTGGCAGCGATCAACGTGGTTTTTTTTTTTTTATTTTAAGAGCTGATTAGTTTTTGGAATCGATCCGTTAAGCTGTTTAAAAGTTATTCCAAAAAAAACCACATGTGAAAAAAATTATTTTTATAGTTTTTTTAAGATTTCTCAAAATCTACCGGTTTGAATCGGTTCAAATTGTATTCAAAATCTAAGTTTGGTCAAACCCTTTTGAATGGCATCAACCACGATAAAATCGGTCTACCCCTATAAAAAAAAAAATATAAAAAATATGTATAATAAATATATTTTTAATAACTAATTTTTGGCCGATTTTTATATATATTTTATATATTTCAAATATATAAAATATATTTTCAAAATATATTTTTTTTATATTTATAGCTATGTATTTTTTATGTATTTTAAAATATATATTGAATCCCTACAATAAAAATACATGACAGTTTGAAGTTAGTCAATAGTCGAAAAAATGGGACCTGATTCCTTATTGGTAGAATATAAACCCTCCTCAGTTACTATTGGTCAATCTCCTGGTACGTGAACATATCAATATATCGATATAAATCGAACAGGATAAATTCATTCTAGAATTCTGATAGGGGGCGCGCGAATGCGCGCCGTTAAAAATTCTAGTATATCTAAAATATAATTAAAATATATATGAAAATCGGCCAAAAGTTAGTTATTAAAAATATATCTACTATATAGATTTTTTATATATTTATATATTTTTTATATATTTTTTATATTTTTCGAACTATTCGTGGAACGAAGCGTTCCAACTATATATTATTTATATTTTTTTTTTCATGGGCGTAGCCATTTAAAAGTTATATGAAAGGTTTACATACGACCACACACACACACACACACACACACACACACACACAGCCGCACGAATACCATCGTACCATTATTAGAATCTTAAAACGTCGAGACTTGATGAAAACTCGATTTTCGCAAAGAGAGGTAAAACCAACAATTTTTGGATTTAAAAAAAATTTCAATTTATCTTAGCGAGAAGTTAAAAATTAAATTTAACGTTTATTAACAAATTTCTTTTGACGAACAAACAGCAGCATTACTTTATGTCAAAAACAATAATCATCTAAACAATACAAAAAAAGTTGTAAATCTTTCAAACAAAAATGTCCCGAGTACTTTAACTATATCCACAGATTCGGTAGAATCTGGCGCCAAGTTCCGTTCAAATCCGTTGTCAACGGAGCGCCAGACTAACGACTGTGTTTACTGTAAGCAGAACGGTATTTTGAGGTTGCAAAATTTTATTTAATTCTACGATACTTTTTTTTTCTTAAATTGTATATTATAACAGTAATTCATACTTTAATTTACTGTTATTAATTAATTATATTCACATATAACAATTAATCTACTTGAAATTAATAAATTTAATCAGCACAAACTATAGCAACGCAAAAATTTCATGTACTTGAAGTTTCGAACGTTCAACTGAACGAATAATATAAATTTCGATCCTGACTTTTTTTCGATGGGCAAAGTGATCAGCCACAGACTAAATAATTCGAGAATACATAGTAATCCTTCATTAGATGGGAAACTACAGTCAAAAAAAGATATTTCACAGCTTGCATATACACCCGCCAGGGTGCACTGGAATTATTTTTACATAAACTGTAGCCTCAAGGGAATAGTTTGCTATAAAAAATGCAGCCAACGCGAGATTTAAATTTGTACTAATTGTAAATTTTTATTATAATTAAAAAAAATACTAAAATCCGAACAAAAACAGTTTCACTGTAAAAAAAACGCGCCAAGTCCACGTTCATAAGACTATTAAGAAAAAAAAAATTAGTTTTTTCTTTACAAAAAGAGATAGAATAAAAAAATTAAAAAAATTAAAAAATCCAAGTAACCAATATGATTGTTTATGATTTTCGGAAATTAAAAAAAACTTTTTTGTAAATTTAAAAATTAAAAAAACAATTTTGAAACGTATTTAGTGTGCGCGGTTGCAAAATATTTTACTTTTAACTAAATTCGCAAAATCTATTTACTAGGACTTTAAAAAAATTGAAATACACAATGAATGTTGTTCTTTAAAAGTTTTATACAATTCTGTTAAATTGCATAAAATAAGTTTTTTTTGGACTGGTTTTTTTTTGCCGCCATCTTTCGCTATAGAAAGACAATCTCAAGGCTTCTCCGGAATTTATCGAAACATTTTGTCATCATATTGTTAGTCTCTTACCGCATGATTTCATTGCTAAAGAGCAATCTGCTTTCATGAAAAGAACCAAAGAATCGTTGCAAGATAATGAATTTTTAGCAATTTGCGATTTTGCTGAAAATTACGCATTTGTACTTCAAAACGCAGCACCGGGATTCCATTGGAATAATAACCAAGCTACGATTTTTCCCGTGGTTATCTATTTCAAGCAAAACAGTGAAATAACTCATCGAAGTTTGGTTATTATTTCCGATAATAATAATCATGATGCAATAGCTGTTTATGTATACCTCAAAATTGTAACTGACTTTGTAAAAGAATCTTTTCCCACTGCAGTGAAAATTATTTATTTTTCTGATGGTGCTCCACAGCAATTCAAAAATTTCAAAAACTTTGTTAATATTTATTATCATAAAGATGACTTTCATTTAGATGCTGAATGGCACTATTTTGCCACAGCTCACGGCAAGGGCCCCTGTGATGGAATTGGAGGAACAGTAAAAAGAATTGCGGCTAGATCTAGTCTCCAACGACCAGTCGATAATCAGATAACAACACCTCAAGAATTGTATAGATGGGCAGCTGAATCAGGTTCTTTACCTAATATTGCTGTGAAGTTTTCACCCGAAAATGATTATTTGACTGCAAAAGAGAAATTGGATCTTCGGTACCATACAGCGAAGTCAATCACCGGGACGCAAAAAGTACACTCTATCGTACCTATGAGCGACGGAAATGTGAGAGTTAAAGAATATTCGAGTTCTACGGAAGATCGTATATGTAAAATTTTTTAAAAAAATCGTAAATGAATAAATAAATTTGATATCATTGTTTGTACACAGATTTGAAGAGTAATTACTCATTTAAATTATCTATTCTCAGTAAAAAGTTATATAAATTACTTAAAAATAAAAAGAAAAATAATATTTAGTTAATACATGAGCATTAATGTCGATTTATAGAGGAAAAATAATTTTGTTAATTTTAAAAATTAAAAAAAAAAAATAGAAGCTATGAAATGCCCTTGATCGGATGGGTCTTAAAAGTTGCAGAAAGAACAGTAGTTTATTATAGCAAAATTTCAAAAAAATCGAAGGGTGCTTGAAATTCAGAAATCAGCTTTAAAATTTTCAAACTTGAAATTCATATAGTAAAATATTTTGAAGAATTTTTTTGTATTTTTTTCCAAAAACAACGTGAAAAAACGAAAATTTAAAAAAAAAAAACACTTAATTTCATCCATTTTTGACAAAGTTATAGGCAAAAAACCAAAAAAAGAGCGATTTTTTTAAATAATTCATATCTTTTGAACGGGTTATGAAAAAAATCTGAAAATTTACCTGGAAGCCTTTCTCAATGAGTATAAAAACATATGAAAAAATCAAGAAAATTAAAAAAAAAAAATTTCAAACTGTCCGATTTGGCGTGGAATGCCCCATATATATATATATACCCGGGGAAAAAAAATTATATATAATTTTATATAATTATATATAATTTTATATAATTATATATAATTTTATATAATTATATATAATTTTATATAATTATATATAATTTTATATAATTATATATAATTTTATATAATTATATATAATTTTATATAATTATATATAATTTTATATAATTATATATAATTTTATATAATTATATATAATTTTATATAATTATATATAATTTTATATAATTATATATAATTTTATATAATTATATATAATTTTATATAATTATATATAATTTTATATAATTATATATAATTTTATATAATTATATATAATTTTATATAATTATATATAATTTTATATAATTATATATAATTTTATATAATTATATATAATTTTATATAATTATATATAATTTTATATAATTATATATAATTTTATATAATTATATATAATTTTATATAAT